GGTATGCTCGGAACAGCCTTTAGTGTTATCATCCGTATGGAGCTGGCTGCACCTGGTGTACAGTTCCTACACGGTAACCACCAACTGTTCAACGTGATCGTAACTGCTCACGCTCTTCTAATGATCTTCTTTATGGTTATGCCTGCTCTCGTTGGAGGGTTCGGTAACTACCTAGTGCCTGTAATGATCGGTGCTCCGGACATGGCCTTCCCACGACTGAACAACATCAGTTTCTGACTACTGCCACCGTCACTTATCCTTCTACTAGCTAGTGCTCTAGTTGAGCAAGGAGTTGGTTCAGGTTGAACTCTGTACCCTCCTCTGTCAGGTATCCAGAGCCACTCAGGTGGAGCTGTTGACCTGGCTATCTTTAGCCTACACCTAGCCGGAATCAGTTCTATGCTAGGAGCCATGAACTTTATCACTACAATCCTGAACATGCGACACCCTGGAATGAGCATGCACAAGCTTCCTCTGTTCTGTTGAGCGATCTTCATTACAGCTATCCTGCTTCTGCTTTCACTTCCAGTGCTAGCTGGTGGAATCACAATGCTGCTAACTGACCGTAACTTCAACACTAGCTTCTACGACCCAGCTGGTGGAGGTGACCCAATCCTATTCCAACACCTATTCTGATTCTTCGGACACCCTGAGGTTTACATCCTGATTATCCCTGGATTCGGAATCGTTAGCCACATCGTAGCTACATTCAGCGGTAAACCAGTATTCGGATACCTAGGAATGGTTTACGCCATGTTCAGTATCGGAATCCTTGGATTCATCGTTTGATCACACCACATGTTCGCCGTTGGACTTGACGTTGACACTCGAGCTTACTTCACAGCTGCTACAATGATCATTGCGGTTCCTACAGGAATCAAAATCTTCAGTTGACTAGCTACTTGCTACGGTGGATCACTTCGGTACACAGCACCTATGGTGTTCGCTCTTGGATTCATCGCTCTGTTCACTATCGGTGGACTAACTGGAGTCGTACTAGCTAACGCCTCACTTGACGTTGCTCTACACGACACATACTACGTTGTTGCTCACTTCCACTACGTTCTATCAATGGGAGCTGTGTTCGCTATGTTCGCTGCATACTACTTCTGAAGCCCTAAAATCATTGGTAAATCATACAACGAGCAAATGGCACACATCCACTTCTGAATCCTGTTCGTAGGAGTTAACCTGACATTCTTCCCACAACACTTCCTAGGTCTATCTGGAATGCCTCGACGTATCCCAGACTACCCTGACGCATTTGCTGCTTGAAACCTAATCTCAAGTGTCGGATCACTGATCTCAGTGGTAGCCTCAGCTCTGTTCATCTACATCATCTGAGACCAGTTCGTGAACGGTAAAGAGGTGTCAAACAACCCTTGAGCAGTTCCTCAGTTCTTCACAAGCACACCTCAGTTCGTGGCTGGACCACAGTACGCTAGCTCACTAGAGTGAACTCTAGCTAGCCCTGTACCATTCCACTCATACAACACACTGCCTGTGCAATCATAGTATCATCCTGGTCATGCTATCGCTCACACGCTTCGAGCTGTGACTAGCTGACCTTCTACAAGCCCCCTATCTACAACTACTCCGATGTCTGGCATGCATTAGCAAGCCAAGTCGAACGCTATCTATGCCATCGCCACTGGGCGTTGGTTAGCCACTACGCAACACCGATATGCCTCAACTACTTCCATTCTACTTCGTTAACCAACTATCATTTGCTTTCCTGGTACTGCTAGCTATGGTTTACGTATTCGGGACTTACATCCTGCCAGCTTTTGCTGAGCTGTTCGTGAGCCGAATGTACATCACAAAACTCTAGTACCTACTGAGCCCTGACGGATCCATCCTGACGGTTCAACTAGCCTACTAGGCGTTGACTCCCCTTATGGCTAGTCTCCAATACTATAACATATCCAATATCCCATACAACAGTCTATGACGTTAGTCCCCAATATTATAACACATTGGAAAAGGGGATGCAGTTATGAAGTTAGCAGTGTTGACACTGCAACGTGTAGGTCAGTCAGGATGATGTTAGGGAACAGTCCGAATAGGAACATACCTACCAGGAATGGTAGTAGTACCATGAACTCTCGCCGTGACACATCTTGAGCGTACCCGAGGTAAGGAGATCAAGCTCCGTTACATAGTCGAGCGTATAGTCAGATTGAGTAGGCAGCTGACAGCACGATACCTGAACTCATCGCTAGTCCAACGAGAGGACTACGTTGGATACTTCCAGTTAGACACATCAGCTCACCAACTCAGTTTAGAGTTAGAGGAGTACTCATGTTTCCAAGTACGATTAGGAAGAATAGAGCGCTGAACACTGGCATGTAAGTTGTCAGTCCACGGTAGTACCGGATCACTCGAGTGTGGTATTTGTCGTATAGGATTCCACCAACACACATGAACATAGCAGGTGATACGAGTCCGTGAGCAAGTCCAAGTAGGATCGCTCCCTCGATACCTTGCAGAGTGTTAGAGAACAGACCAATAACCACAACAGACATGTGAGCAACCGATGAGTAGGCTACCAGAACTTTGAAGTCAGTCTGTCGTAGTGTTGTCAGTGAACTGTACACTAGAGTCACTACTGCGATGGCTTGCACCATAGGTGAGAAGTACGATGTTGCCTCTGGTAGTAGAGGGATAAGTACTCGTAGGAATCCGTAAGTTGCAAGCTTCAGGATAAGTCCAGCTAGGATCATAGAAGCCGCAACTGGGGCCTCAACGTGAGCTCGGCTTAGTCAGATGTGACCAGGTAGCAGCGGAGTCTTAACAGCTAGGCTAGCGAAGATAGCTAGTCATAGCAGCTTCTGGTACTCGAAGCTGATGTCTGTAAGTGACAGTACTTCGAAGTCAGTGCTTCCCACGTGGTATGCGATAGCTAGGAAGGCTAGTAGCATGAACAGTGATCCCAGTAGTGTGTACAGGAATAGAAGGAATGAAGCACGTACCCGGTTAGCACTAGCACCTCAGATACCAATGATCAGGAACAGAGGAATCAGAACTGCCTCGAAGAACACGTAGAACAGTAGTAGGTCCAGTACAACGAACACAGCGATTAGGAAGGCCTCTAGGACCAGTAGGCACACTAGGTACGTCCGTACGTTGTGTTTGATGCTGTCTCAGCTAGCTAGGATACAGATCGGCATTGTGAATGTAGTCAGTAGTACAAAGTACAGTGACAGTCCATCCACTCCGATGTGTAGGTGAAGGAAGCTAAGCTGGTTGAACTCAGCAGTGAATTGGTATGAAGTGGCACTTGAGTCGAAGTCACCTCACATGATCATTGAGATCGCGAAAGTAAGAACAGTAGTCATTAGGGCTACACGTTTAACACGTGTGCGCTCAGTGTGAGTACCTTCTGGCATAGTAGCTACTAGAGCAGCACCTAGGACAGGAAGGAGTAGTTGTGATGTTAGCATGCTTAGCAAGACTATGATGGAACTACTTCGATAGGAGATAGGATCTGGCTAACGGATGCTAGACTACAGATCACTAGGGAGACTTGTACACGGAGTGGACAAGTAGGCATCGGCACTAAGCCGATACTTAGGATCAAAGCAGCAATGAGCTTCAATATACAAGTAGTGGGACTCGAACCCACACGGACAAAACCACAGTATCCTAAGTACTGCCTGGCTACCAATTACAGCATACTTGCATTGTCTACATTGCGTGCGTTACGTTAACCCATCTTAGAGCTTCTCGATCACTCAACTACAGTTAAAAGGGGGTACCAGTGCTAATGGATGATCCATAGAGCGACTGGTGAGCTCATCACAGTGATACTATGAGTACAGAAGTAGGAAACTGATCATTAGAGCGAACAGTCCTGTAGCCTCCGCAAGAGCGAATCCAAGGATAGCGTAAGAGAATAGTTGAGGTCGCAGAGCTGGGTTCCGTGATACAGCAGTGATTAGAGCACTGAATACCATTCCGATCCCGACTCCGGCTCCAGCTAGTCCGATAGCGGCTAGTCCTGAACCGATGTATTTAGCAGCTTGAAGCATATTAAGTGGGTTACCGACACCTAGTCACGGACTCAGGGCGCATCCACACCAGAGTACAGTCGCTTGCGCAACGAACCTACCGGTGCGAGTTAGGCCTGGAACAGACCTGGATCACCTGTCGCAGAGGCCTACAGGAGTACCATAAGCATGCGATTCTTATATTGACGCCTCGAGTCTGGCTCGAACTTAATCTATAAGGAAGGTGCATTAACTCGTCGGTACGTTCTATAAGTGAGGTGCTGCTCCTAGGGCTAGCCTCCACTTGCCTACTATAAGAGACGCTTAGTCAACGCGGGACCGCCCTCAGCGTACGCCAGGAACCAGAACAAAGCTACAGTGCCTTAGTTCCCTGGTTAGCTACCTAGGGTACCTGCACACCTAGTGGAACTATACATACTATATATGACTCAACTATTCTTCCTATCACCGCTAGAGCAGTTCGAAGTAACTTCGTTCGCCTACGCTGGGCTTGGTGGATTCCACTTCGCCCTAACTAACCTAGGATTCTACTCACTTCTAGTGATCTTCCTTGCTGTCGGTACACACGTGATCGCAGCCAACAACCGACGACTTGTGCCTAGCCGATGATCAATCGGACTAGAGTCATCATACGCGTCAATCCACGGACTCGTTAAAGAGCAAATCGGTTCAGCTAACGAGATCTACCTACCTATGATCTACGCTATGTTCTTCTTCGTTCTAGTGTCAAACCTGATCGGTAACGTACCTTACTCATTCGCTGTAACAACTAGCGCGATCGTCTCAATGGGACTTAGCCTAGCTATCTTCCTTGGAGTTACAATCCTTGGACTACACCGACACGGAGTGCACTTCTTCAGCTACTTCATCCCTGCTGGTACTCCACTAGCAATGGTGCCGATGCTAGCTCTAGTTGAGCTGATCTCATACACAGCTCGGGCCTTCAGTCTAGGAATCCGGCTCTTTGCTAACATGGTTGCTGGACACACTCTACTTAAGATCCTAAGTGGATTCCTGTACCCAATGTTCACATCTGGTATCCTACTACTACTTGTTAGCGTGTTCCCAATCGCACTATTCACTGTGCTGATCGGACTAGAGGTGGCCGTAAGTTTCATCCAAGCTTACGTATTCACTATCCTAACTTGCATCTACCTGCGAGACGCTATCGACCTACACTAATTTAGTGTTGATCCCCCTTTTCAATTCTACATATGCTGATAATACGCGAGGTTAGTTTAACGGTAAGAACTCCTATCTTACACTCCCCCTCCCACACCGGAGGTGTGGGAGGTAAGTCTTAGCCCTCTAGATAGACAGAGCAGCACAGCATAGACTAGGTCAGTCATACAACGAGTACAGCATACACGCTATCATCCAATCACACGCGAGGTTAGTTTAACGGTGAGAACGCCTATCTTACACATAGGCAGCAGTGGTTCGACTCCACTACCTTGTATACTCTAGTCTGGTACACAATACTACGTCTACGAGATGATGTTATGCCACCATTCTCCTTTGCCTTAGGAGTACCTCTGACATCTACCCCCGCCTGAAGAAGGCAAGCGTACCTGCCAGGTATGTTCCATGTTCACAGACTAGTATCTGTGAAGTCTGACTTAACACACAACAGCTTCGAGATGCCTTCACACTTCATTTGACTGACCCAGTTCTGCGCTTACTACCTGCACCTGAATGATCCTAAGGTGATTAAGCGACTGCGGTACCGCTACAAGAACAAAGCCGTAATTTACGCTATCCGACACATCTCTACTGGGATGATGTACATTGGTTCTACACTGGACGGATACAACCGATTCCAGCACCATCTAGTTACCCGGCACAACTCTAACCCGGGACTTCAGCAGGCTATTGAGACACACGGCCTGTCTAAATTCTGTCTCTACATCCTGGAGGAAGTAACTATCCCCGCTGGTTACTCTTCACAGGAGGCTCTACTCTACCTTCACTCAGTTGAGAGCCGATACGTTGGTCAGTTCCCAGTTGACCAGCTATGAAATCTTAACAATCCAGTAGCTCAGAGCTAACCCCCTTTTGGATGAAGGAGACTGAAGCCCTAGCTATCAGATTGTGACTTACCCCGCCGCCTTAGCGGCGGGGGGGGAGTAGGAAGCAGTGGTTCGACTCCACTACCTTGTAATTAAATATATCCCCTTAGCTGCGTCCATCACCTGTGGCTTGCCTTTGGTAGCTGAACCCCAGCCCTAGTTAGGTCTCAGTAGTAGGCTGAGGATGCTGACCAGATCGGCATCGATCTCCTCCACTAATATAAGGAAGGTAGTGCCAACATGTCAACACGTCATTATAAGTATCACTAGGGAGAAGGAAAGAAAGAAAGATAGAAGGATGGAAGCTACCACACAAACATAGCTATAGCCGTATGCTACATAGTGTAATGGCCAACTGTCCTTTGCGGCTGTATGCTCTCTGGCCGCTTAGAGGTACGGTATAGGCGAAGGCTGTATAGTGTAATGGCCGACTGTTTGATGGCGTACTCTGCTCTATTGCCCCTATGCGTTGCATGATGTACTCGATGCACTTGACCACTTGTACCGAATACTCATATTTTACTATGAGCTACCTGGGCCTAGGAGTCTCGTGGGTACAACGCTATGCTGTACCATGTCTATATACCACGACCAGGCTTGGCCTATCTGTACCTACTATAGCTCTACTCCTTCCTAGATTAACTTGACCACTTGTACCTGATACTCATATTTTACTATGAGCTCCCTCTGGGCTATGAGTATAGGACAATCCCCTAACACAGCCTTGTTCGTACCCTGAAGCAACATCAGTTCCATCTGTAATAGCACGAGCTGAAGCAAGACTACAACCACCTTCCATGGGCACAAATGCCTCTTCGTCTAGCTACTAGGCAGGACAGAGAGAAAAAGACACAATAGGGGCCTTTTTTGACAAAGACTCTTATAGGGACGAGCGTCGAGGCCCTATAAGAAGCTTTGGCATATGATAGTAGCACGCCTCGATAGGTCTATGACGAACATTGCGTGGCTGTGCAGGTCTACGATCGCCTTGATCAACAATCCGAACAAAGGATACTGGTGTAGGCTATCTATAGGTCTCTCTGTGTCATGGACCGTTACAGAAGCTATGCGACCACTACTATATGCAGCACGTCAGCTATACCACATCAGACTATGGTAGGACACACCAACAACGCTAGTCAGCTATACCACATCAGACTATGGTAAGACATATCAACATCACTTGTCAGCTACACCATGCTAACATCACCTATCAGCTATACCACATCAGACTATGGTAGGATTTATCAACAGCACTAGTCAGCTATACTTCATCAGCTATGGTAGGATACGCAAACAGCGCTAGTCAGCTATACCACATCAGCTATGGCATGACACGCAACCAATAGGGAGTGATCACCTATGTCATGCTATAGCACCGTATGACACGTAGCTAGATGAAGGCTCGTAGGTGACACAGCTCACATGACCAACGATTCTTATAGTCCTCGGCCTCCGCTGTCGGCGTCGTACTATAAGAGCCGTTTGTCAAAAAGAACCTGTTACCGTGCCTTGTAGATAGGCCTGGATTTCGATCTTGACGAGCAACTCATTGGCCTAGAACAAGTTGCACATGTTGAGCCTATTGTTTGTGGAGACAAGCTACCCCCAAACTATGCTCGGCTAGCGCCTCGGTGGGGTGGTGATAGGGCAATCAAGTAGCATAGCTGCGTATAAGTCTGATGGAACTGCTCACTCTATCGTCCATACAGATACGGATGCTTATAGCTAGAGGTCAGATGCCTCTAGTCACTCTGCCACATCGTCTCACGCTACAGACAGGAGACCTCTGGGTACGGAGTGCTCATAGGTAAAAGATGAGTATTCGGTACATTGTAACAGCGTTGGTCGATCCAAGGATGAGCTTAGCCAAGGATGAGTTGGCCTCTAATTACGGTCCTCCTACCCCCTCCGTAGTCGGGAAGCTTTCTCATGTGTGCTTCACGTGATTGTGCCAGGATGAGTTGGCCTCTAATTACGGTCCTGCATGACTCACATGTCACTACAGACAGGAGACCTCTGGGTACGGAGTGCTCATAGGTAAAATATGAGTACTAGGTGCTTTGTCACAGCTCTGGAGGTAGGTGATGGAGTTATGGGATGATCGAGTGATGTAGACCACTAGGTACAGGATGATGCAGACCTCTGGGTACGGAGTGCTCTTAGGTAAAAGATGAGTACTCGGTACATTGTCACAACAGCTTATTGATATGGTGTCTCGAGGGTCCGGCCCCGGCCCCCTCCCTCCATAGTCGGTCGGGAAGCTTTCTCATGTAGGTTCACGGTATCATACTAGGACATAAGTCAAGTACACCTCCTGGATGTCCTTTAGGTTGGGGGTCGCTTACACCCTAGCACTATCACATGAGGCTTCTAATATACAAGCTTCCCAACCTTTAGGTTGGGGGTCGCATGGTTCGCCCAAGGAGTTTATCGTTACAGAGACTATACCGTAGGCGCCTAAGCCTCCTACCTGTCTTGCCATAGAGCATAGCGCGGTGTCGGACAGTTGGCGTTACGTTATGCCGTAGACGCCTATAGGTAGGTGACTGATGCAGGCAGCTAGTGGTCACTCCCACTCGATTCGTAAGGTAAAAGTATACGGTACAACCATGGCTTCCTTCCTTCTTTCTATCTGTCTATCTAGCGATACTTATAATGGCGAGGTGACGAGTCGATACTGCCTTCCTTATAATGATTTTAAGGACACCTAACACACTCACCTACATGCGGTTCCCTCACTCATAGGGCCTCGTCCTTTAGGCCTATGCTTGAGCTACGTGAGAGGACTTACGCCCGATCTTGGAGGGCGGCACTAATTAAGCATTGCCGTGGAGTAGGATAGGTGTGTTGGCAAAAGGGGGTTAGCACTAGTATGGTGCTACGTCGAACGCAACTAGGATACTTGGAACAAGCAGCACTAGGGCGATGACTACAGGTAGGAATCCAGTTCACATGACTACCATTAGATCCTGGTATCGTAGTCGTGGCAGAGTTGCACGGAATCATACGAATAGGAAGCAGAATAGGCAAGTCTTAAGGGCTAGCACGATGCTTTGAATATTGATGAACGTGTCGTTTGGTACAATCTCAGGCATAATGTAACCACCTAGGAACAGGATAGCACTGAAAGCAGACATTAGCACGATGCTACAGTACTCCGCTAGGAAGAACATAACGAACGGCATAGATGAGTGCTCTGTGAAGAATCCAGCAACCAGCTCTGACTCAGCCTCAGGCAGGTCAAATGGTGTACGGTTAGTCTCAGCCAGAACCGAGATGAAGAACAGTACGAATACTGGTAGTAGTGGGATCACGAATCACACGCTTTGTTGTGACTCGATGATGCTTGTGTAGTGGAATGTTCCTGTTAGGAAGATCACTGTCAGTACAGCAGAGCTTAGGACTAGCTCGTAACTAATCATCTGAGCAGTACTTCGGAGTGATCCTAGGAAGGCGTATTTAGAGTTGGCAGATCATCCAGCCAGTAGAACTCCGTAGATACCAATAGATGAGGCAGCTAGTGAGTATAGTAGACCTAGACTGAAGTCAGTCAGTGCAAGTCCGCTACCGAATGGGATAACGGCTCACCCAAGTAGGCTAAAGACGAGGCTGATCACAGGTGCTAGGTAGAATACTCCACGTGTAGCAGCAGCTGGAACAACGGTCTCCTTAACGACTAGCTTAAGTGCATCCGCGAACGGTTGTAGTGTACCGTATCAACCTACGATGTTGGGTCCGACTCGACGTTGCATGCTGGCTAGTACCTTACGCTCGATGATTGTCATAAAGGCAACCGATAGGAGGATAGGAACTAGGACGATGAGAACCTCGAGGAGACTGTATAGAACCGATAGCATATCTGAGGTTAGTGAACGATCAGAGAACTGATAGGTAAGGAGGTTAGCCGTAGGAGTACAGCTCGAATAGGGGATTCAAAGGGGGCTACAAAGTAGCGGTTACAGGCCTAGACTTGAGCTGATAGTCACTCGAGGTACTTCTCAAGTGATACCGCCTCAACTACGATCGGCATAAATCCGTGGTATACTCCACAGATCTCGCTACACTGTCCGTAGTACACACCCTCACGTTGGATAAGGGCAGTTGTCTGGTTTAGACGTCCAGGAATTCCGTCAAGTTTCAGTCCAAGTGAAGGAACAGCAAAGTCGTGGATTACATCTTGTCCTGTAACGATGAACCGGATGTGAGTGTCAACTGGCACTACAACTCGGTTGTCAACGTCAAGTAGTCGGAGCTGTCCTAGCTCTAGGTCTGACTCAGGGATCATGTATGAGTCGAACTCAACTGACTCTCCGTCAGCGCTTACGAAGTCACTGTACTCGTATGATCAGTATCACTGGTGTCCAGCGACTTTAACAGTCATTGTAGGTGATACAATCTCGTCCATAAGGTACAGTAGCTTGAAGCTAGGGAACGCGATGGCGATCAGGATCAGAGCTGGAGTGATTGTTCAGATCAGCTCGATCAGAGTACCGTGGTTGTGGTACTTGTGTACGATACCAGTTCGGCTAGCGCTGAACTTAACTAGGATCACACCTAGCATTCAGAACACTAGGAAGCTGATCACAACTAGGTAGAAGAAGATAGTGTCGTGGAGCTCCACGATACCCTCGAAGTTAGGAGTACTTCCGTCCTGGAACCCAATTTGTCATGGGTAGGCGGAGTCACAGCTCACTGAGCTGAGGAATGGGAATAGGTTTAGCATGGCTAATAGTTACTGGGATCAACAGCCTCTGACGTTACCTGCGTAAGTATGTCTACGCAGTACGGTTAGGTAGGTCGTAGTCAAGTTTAGTGCAAGGAGCTAAGCTACTGCCTATCACTCGATACGAAGGGCATGCCGTAGCTCAGACGGTATGCTACCTAAGAGGCAACTCTCATGGGTACATGGCACTAGGGCCTGTGCGGCGCGTGCAATACGGTGCCACACGTAGCTTGTCATACCCTAATGGATGGGGGGATTCGTAATGTAAATCTTGCCCCTAGGGAGTGACACTTGGGCAGGCATGAATCGAACATGCCGTAGATAAACTAAGCCATTTACAGTGGCTCTCCTTGCCACTAGGATAACTGCCCAGATTCACCATTTAGGATGTAATATGCCTAAGGAGGGAGTCGAACCCATCAGTCCCAAGAGCTTCAATCGAGTGCATTACCGTTATGCTACCTAGGCTCACACTACATTATTGGTGTTGGAGACAGCTGGAATCGAACCAGCGTCACAGTGATGCAAACACAGTGTAATGCCATTATACTATGTCCCCGTAGTTGCCATGGTGAGTAGCTGCATGTTTATCTGATCCTTATAGTGTTAAGGTTGTGCTGGTCTCAGCTATCTTATAGCGTTAGCTGAATAGGTACACAAGGGGACAGGAACGGTATCCCACAGCTGTAAGGGGATTGCATAGAAGGCGATTTATTAGCCTTCGATAGTTGTTCGTCGAATTGTAGATCGGTGGTCAGTGAATTTCAGAGCACCTGAACCTACCTCGAATACGAACCCTACGGTTAGCAGGATGAAGAAGATTGTAGCTACTCAGAACCCGTAAGTTGACACCTGGTACAGTGTTACAGCTACAGGGAATAGCACAGCGATCTCAAGGTCAAAGATCAGGAATAGGATACCAACTAGGTAGTAAGCAACTGCAAATGGAGCACGTACCTGGCCGTGGAGCGGGTTGAACCCACACTCGTAGGCCGATACTTTCTCAGCGTCAGGACGGTGAGCAGCTAGCAGAAGGTTAACTCCCAGAAGGATTCCCACTAG